AAAAGGCCCTCTGGGTGACAAAGTCACATGAATGGGTGGATGACAAGTCTTCCATCCAGCCCTCTCTGAACTGCAAGACGATGGTGTGTTTCAACAGTAAATAACACAGGGTTCCCAAAGACACCAAAGTGAACAAATCAAGCAAATCCTCAGTCTTCTCTGCATCCCAGATTTCTCTTTTCCCCCTGGCATTATCATCTTACTTAGAAAATCCTTTCTGGGCCCTTCTGCTCTACAGAGCAAGACTGTCACTTAAAAGCCTGTTCCCTAACTGAAATTGCTCTTCTGTGGCTACAAATAAAAACCATGGGCAGCTCGGACAAGTTTATCATGGGAGCTGATTAATTAGCAGTTACAGAGCCCTGAAAATAGAATTCCATTTCACTAACACAGAAATGTAACTTTGAAGTGAACACTGTTATGATTTAAACACATTTGCTCCATGGTGGGGAAGCTATAGAGGTAGTAGAAAAATGGGAAGTCTATGTGTTCATTTGAAGTATGAGAAAATATGAAAGGTTTTTTAATAATAGCATCAATAATATCTAACACTGAGCTAGGATCTGTCCCATCCATGTCTGCTCTGAGTGCTTATGTGTACCTGCCTGATTGGGCCTCAGGACCATCCTAGGAGACAAACACCATTATTGCCTGCATTTTACACAGGACGAAATAGAGGCCCACAGCTACTGAATGGAGCAGCCAGGGTTAACACTCAGGCAGGTAGAACCAGACCAGTGGGATGACAGTGGGCATGGATGTTGGGTTCCAGGAGTATATGCAGTGTTTGCACATAATTTTGATTGTCATGAGTAGTCTGGGCTGCTAAAGGCATCTGGTAGACAGAGACCAGGGATGCTGCTAAGCATCCTACAATGCACAGGACAGTCCCCAAAGCAAAGAATTTTATCAGTCCCAAAATATCGATGGTTTGGGGGAGCATAAATCCTACTCCAGAGCCTCACCCATGTCACTGTGTCTGAGGGCTATGCTCAGGAAACAGGGCTTCCTATACAAGAGGCAGGTCTCCAATAATGACCCCTTCCCTATGTACTAGGGAGGTACACGTGCTCCTTCCTGGCCAGTCACCTCGACGGCAGCAACACCCATACACAAGGCTAATGCTGCCATCCTTGCCTGAGGCCTGGATGTGATCTCTTGAAAGCCTGTGAGATTTCAGTTTCCCTATCAAGAGCTAGGAACTCTCTAGAAATAACATTAATTAAACATATGCCGTTGGGGCAGAAATAGCCAAAGCATCAGTAGAATGAAAGTAAGATTCTAAAAAGACATCTGTGTATATGTGGGAATTTAGAGCTACGTTAAAATATCCTTTCAAATCAAAAAGCAGCTGAGAGAGGTTTACCAGAATGCTCTACACTCTCTATGCAACTTGTCTATACAGCCAAAACTACCCTAAAGTTAAAAGTTTATTAAAAAACAAAAAAACAAAAAACAGCAGAGGGGAAAACTGGTTATCTATAGAAGAAAATATTAACATCAGATCTAACGCTTTATGAAAATACACTTCAACTGGATGAAAAAGTTAACTGCAAATAAACAATGTGATAATAATTTAAACTATAAAAGTTTCATAAGTAAATATAAGAATAAATCTTTATAGCCTTCACTTGAGGAAGGCCTTTCTAAACAAGGCATGTGGACTTCCCTCGTGGCCCAGTGATTAAGAATCTCCCTTGCAGTGCAGGGACAAGGGTTCAATCCCTGGTCCAGGAAGATACTACATGCTGCGGGGCAACTAAACCCATGTGCCACAACTACTGTGCCTGCACTCTAGAAGCCCCACTCTACAAGGGGGGCTACCACAAGGAGAAGCCCCTGGCCCGCAATGAAGAGAAGCCTGGCTCGCCCCAACTAGAGAGAGCCCACACACAGCAATGAAGACCCAGCACAGTCATAAATAAATCAACATTTTTTTAAGGCAACTAAACCAGCAAGGGAAAGACTGGCAGGTTTGAGACCACCGAGGTAGCCAAACACTAGGTGGCCAAACACTTGCAAGCTGAAGACAGAAGTATCAGTTGAGTAGAGAAGGAAATTAGAATTGCTTTTACAGCTTTCCTCTGGGAGAAATTTCACAGCCAAAGCTCTGAATCTCCGATTACAGAAGTCAAAGCGAAAGGGCCGGAGCGGACTCCTGCTGGCATTCCTCTCTAACGAGCTTTAGATTTAGAAGGGAAATTCTCTTTCCTGGTGCCTCAGGGCTGGAGGAAGTCTCTGGCAAGCAGATGGAGTGTCAGTGAAGCATAGGTGCAACCCTAGAGCCTAAGTCTCAGCTTTGAGAGAACAAGGGGCTCTTTCCTTGCTATTTTAATATCCAAGCTGACCTGGGTGACAGCCCCTCGAGCAGTGGGAACTACTACTAATAGTCACAACTATTAGAGGCCAGACAACCTCTCTCTGGTCCCTGCACACGAGGCCCCGGCCAGAAGGGTGGCACTGCCTGCCCCTCCCTGGGCCTCAGGAGACAAAGCGGAGACACCTTTTCAGCTACACACCCCAAACTCTGGTTTTAGTTTCCCCTGCGACCTGTGCAGTTTTACGCCTACCGCTCCAAGAAATACTACAAATCCAGGATGGTCATTTTTTCAGCATGACTTATATCTCCAATAAGAAATATATCCAAATAGTCATGATCTTAAAAGACACAAATTTCTGGCAGAGTAAAGGACCTAAGAAAAATCTGTATAAAGAGATAGGGAAGCTCTCTGCCATTCTTTGATAGTATAACCATCCGTTTGCATTTTGTCCGTATCTTTTTTTTTAAAGAATCAAAGACATTTTCCAAGAGAAATAACAACAAATATCACACAAAACTCTATATCACAGCCAATGTGGACTGGAAAAAATCAGAGGGTCTGAGTTGGAGTCATTCCTGGGCAGTGGGGCCCTGGGTAGGATGTTTGAACTCTTTGTGTCTCAATGGGAAAAATGGATATAATTCATTCATTCAACAAATATTTAATAAACTCTCATTATGTGCCAATTCTACTGTCTTTACTAATCTTACAGATAAGGAGAATTACATGAAAGGACTCATGAAAATGCTTTGTAAATTGTAAAAATACTTCCTTCAGTCATCGTTAACATAAAAAGAATGTCTTGTTGTTACTGTTATTGTTACTATTAAGATTGAGGCCAGGACCAAAATAAAGAACTTATGCCAGATTGTATTCAGGACAACCAGAGGGAGGAATCACCATTTGAATTTTTTTTTAAAAGTGCTCTTAAGAGCCACACCCAAGCCTATAAAACGCTGACAGGGGAGGAAAAAAAAAGCATTGGCTACAGATTTATCCCAAAGAGGGTAAGAGTCCACCAAGTTTCTACAGGGTCCTTGGAAAAAGCGGGATGATAGGAATTCAGAGATTAGAGGATGATCAAGAAACACTACAGGCCTTCCAGTCAGCACTGCACCCCATCCCATGCCTGGGCCTGGTGAGGTCCTGAAGAAGACTCTAACCCCGCGCAGCCCACGTGCGACCAACCCAAGCAACTCCAAACTATCTGAACAAACCCCAAAGTCAGGGTTTCTCCTTTCTTCTCCCTCTTCGAACTCTACCATGAAGAGTGTGCTTATCTGTTCTGAGAAGTGCAATGCCTAAGGACAGCAAGGTGATTTTCATTAAACAAAGGAAGAGAAATCCGTTCTGTTCAAAAACCCATAGTTCACAACACAGGGACAAATGTCAGCAGTGCAGGGCAATCAGAAGAGTTTGGGGCAAAACCAAGGGGAATTCTGGGCAGGCAAGTGAAATAATGGACACTGATTGCAAAAGTCCCAAAAGACAAGAAAATGCAATCATACCGTAATTAAGCCTTCAGGAAAGAAACGCTACACTATTTGCTCCCATTAAAGTCAGGTTCAGCATGTAAAAAAAAAAAGATTATTTTCAAAAACGAAAACTCTTAAAGACTGAATGAGATCCAACATTATGTAACAACCTAAATGGGAAAAGAATCTGAAAAAGAATGGATACATGTATGTGTATAACTGAATCACTATGTCATACACCTGAAATTAACCTGACTTTGTTACTTAACCATACTTCAGTATAAAATTAAAAGTTTTTAAAAAATTAGAAAAAGATTGTATAAGATCAAAAATAGGTACAAAACTGACAAAATGGTCATAATTCCTCACTGTGTAGCCCCCAAGTTACACCATATGTACTGTGCAATATTTCCATGCTATTTTCACTACAAAAAAAGCTTATGACTTGCTAAATAGAGGCTACAGTCTACAATTCCAGGGTTTAAAACATACTATTTTATCATCCCTATAGATTCTATAGCATTTCCAGGCCCCATCCCACCTCACCCTGAAAATAACAAAAGGTTAAAAATATTTTCCTTGTGAAACTGGAGCCACATCTTAACTAAAGCACTGGAAATCTCTCCAAGCCCCTGACATTTTTGTATTTATAGACCATGACAGAAGTCTCACCTACTTTAACTCATAGTCTCATTCAATATGCCTTAAACATCTTGATTATATCTTTAATGTGCCATTTACTCTGAAATAACCCACTGTACAAAAGCCAGCTGCCTTTCAGACAGAAGATAAGTACATAATAAATCAGCTTGCAATGATTCTTTTTTCCAGCTCATACTCACAGCGAGCTCCTAAAATTTCATTTTACTTTATCTTTCCAATTCAGCGGCCGTTCTCGCCCTCCTCATTCTGCTACCCGCTCCTGTGAGTCCAGCCCACCCGCCCTTTGGCCCAGCTCCTGGCCCGGGTGTTACCACTCCACTCGGCTCTGCCGCCGCCGTCCAGGGAACGATGAGGGCTGTCAAGTCTTGGAGCGAGAGCATCTTTCTGGAGAAAGGCTCTCGCTCGCAGGGGTAGAGAAGGCTCGCAGGGCCTATTTGCATATGCTTTTATTCCATTTCCACACCCTGCACGCTAACGCTCTCTGGAAAGTCCCTTCTCGAATCCCTCCTCGGCGCAGAGAGGGGGGAGAGGCAGGGCCGGAATGGAAGGTTCCAGCCTGGCAGGGTCGGCCTCTCCCCGGGGAGTAGCCTCAACCTGCCTGCCGCTGCCCGCTGGGTCTGGACCCTCGGGCGGGGGCCTGGGACCCTCTCCCTGCGCACGATGCGAGCCGAGGCCGGCCCGGGCCTGCGCGCTCCGGGGAGCTCTGAGCGCGATGCTCTTGCTCTGCTCCAGCCTCCCCCGAGGAAGTTCTGGTCAGGCGCTAGGTCCCGGGCTTCCTGTCTGTACTCTCCGCAGCCCCGCGGGGAAATCCCGAGAGATTTATCCGCTGCCCAACGAGCCTGTCGGCTTTTCAAGTATGTGCAGGTTGAGTTTCGGTCCAAACCTCAATTTAACGTTAACCATAAATAAATAAATAAATAAATATGTGCAAGGCATTCGTTTTAAAAAGAAAGAAGAAAGCAAAGAGAAGCAGCCTTTGGGGTCAGGATCGGGCAGAAATCTCCTTTCCTTGCTGCAGATATACAAGGCCTGGATCAGTTTGAACAAATGGATGCTTTGAAATGTAAACTGGCTGCTTGAAGTGAGCGCTGATCTAGCAGGCAGTAGACCCAGAAATGTTCTTCCTAGTACTATTTTCTGAAACGTGGACGTAAAAGCTGTTTAACTCAGCTAATAGCAATAATCGCTCCATTTTAATTGATTCTTACTATGCACCGGGCATTCTACTCAAATGTTTCACAGGCAAGGTCGCTCCTAATCCCACAGCAGCCTGGCAGGGAGCCAGTAAAATGAACCCCATCGTACTGATAAGGGAATTTTATCTCCCAGGAGGCTAGGGCAACTTGGTACCCTATCCTTTTCCCAAGCTGGAAACGCCTTCCTAAACCTTTGGAATATGCCATTGCAAATGAAGATTCCCAAACAAAATAACTATCCTTCCCTACACTGGAAATTTACCCATGGACAGAAAGGAGCCAATTTAAAGCTGTTTGCTTCCAAGTAGAGTTAGTCATTTCCCTGACCTCCCCAAGGTGTTCACTGCTTACTTGCTAGGCTCCCAAAAGCTTTGTTTGAACTTCTATTATAAGTTAACTTTTTAAAAAGGAAGTATTTATTGAGTGCTCATTACATGCCAGGCACTGTACATACATACAGGTTCTTATTCAATTCTCCCAACCATGCCAAGTAGATCCTATTATCATCCCCAGATTATAAATGAGGAAACTGAGGCTCAGAGAGGTTATGAACTTGCCCAAGGTCACACAGCCAGAAATGAGCAAAGCCAGGGTTTGAACTGAGGTTCGCTCTCCTCAGAGCTCTGAACCCCAGGTGCTGCATTCTACTGCCACTTAAGGGAGCCAACATCAAAACTCTGTACTTCTGTGAGATTCTCTCTGGTGAAAAAGGAGTTCCTTGGGAGTAGGGGCCTGATGCAGGCATCTGAGTCAGCTCTGAGCTGAATTTTAGGCATTAGTTGGCATTTTTATTAAACACTGGATGGATGAGAGAGAGGAAGGATAAAGTGATCAGAAGACTTAAGGATGTTCTTAACACATCTCACATTGAAGTAAGGAGTAAATGATCTATTTGTGAAGCTTTTATAAAAGGTTAAGAGCTGCATCATGTCAATTAGTGACAATCTTGTTTAAAGAACCATTTAGGCCCATTAACTGGAGCTTAATGCAAATAGATAAACAGAAGAAACCCAGACCTGGCTAGTTGCTGCTAACAAGTTCATTACCCTGTTCCAGTCAGTTAACTTGACTTCTGGGTCTGCATTCTTTAAGTCTCCGTTGGTATGGTTTTCTAGAAACCAGGAAGTACATGGACAGAGCCAGGATTTAAATACTACATGCCACCAGCTGGGTCTTCCCTGGTGGTTGGGTGGTAAAGAATCCGCCTGCCAATATGTGAGACACAGGTTCAATCAATCCCTAAGTCAGGAAGATCCCCTAGAGAAGGAAATGGCAACCCACTCTAGTATTTTTGCCTGGAAAATCCCATGGGCAGAGGGGTCTGGCTGGCTACAGTCTATAGGGTTGCAGAGTCTGACATGACTTAGTGACTAAAACAACAGGCTACCAGCTGTGTGTACCTCACATACAAACTCTAAATTTGAGCCAGGTTTTTATGGATAATATAAGAATTTAGCCTCCTTTTATAATCAAAATTCATATCATTTTTATTTTATCTTGTGGGAGGGGTGACCTTAAATACCATTTATGGAATTTATATGCCAGGCAAAGTTCTAGGCACTTTAGCTACATTCTCATTTAATGCACATAAAATAGATGTTACCATCCCCATCCTACAGATGAGAATTTACAGATGACTGAGACTCAAAGAGGTTTCATCACTTCCCAGAGTTATAGACTGAGGGAGGTGATGCTGGGAGGAGAGGAATTTTTGAGTGAGTATGACTCTTCCTGGGTGACAAGAACATTGCCTTTCCTGACTTGGAGCCCCAATCTAACTACATGCTGTGCTATTCTTTCCAGGTGCTCACAAGCACAAAAATTAATAGGATTACTGGGCTGGAGCTATTTTCTACCCAGTTACTTGGGAGGCAAAGGGTACAATATGAAAAAATTTGATCCCTGCATTGTTTTATTTTAAATCCAAAGCAGGGCCACATTTCCTTTTGAATAATTCACTCACCCATCCCCCACTTTCTAAATATTACATATAAGGCAGCCCTTGATTTTTCACAATACTGTGTTAACTAAAACTAATGTTGGGTTAAAGTTCATAAATTCATACAGCATTCTGATGTTATGTTGAGGAGGCATTTAATAGTTATTAACATTGGTTTTGTAGGATTCTTTTTGAATTTTGGAGCCAGCCAGTTCTTCCCCCATGAGCCCTGAAAAAGCACAGATAGGTAGTGTCCAGAGATTCTGATACGTTTCCTGGGTCCACGTTTAAGAGATAGCTTTGCTCCATGATTCACGATACATTTACAGGAAGCCTGAGAACCTTGCCACTCTCCACCTTAAATATCACAGTGTGGGCTCAGGGGTATAAAAAGGTCAGACTGGAAAGATGACCTCAAACGTGCCCCTGACTACTTTCGAGACATCTCTACCTAAGTTCTTTGGCCCTCAGACACTGTGATTGGGTACTAGGAAATTGTGACTTAGGTGGCTATGAAAAATACCCCCAAGTGTCATGATGATGCTTGTGTTTCCAGCCCACTGGGTTGCTGAGATGTTTGGGGTTCTTGAACCCAGGAAATCCCCAAATAAGACAGGCTCTGTAGGGGTGAGGGTTAGAGCTGGTGCCTCAAACAGCTTATAGTTCAGCTGGAACCCAGAATGAGGATTCAATTCATCCTCCTGTCTGCAGGTCCAAGGGAGGATTAGCTGCGCCTGGTGGACTGCCTCTATCCAAAGGAAAACCCCAGGTCACCAAGCGCCCTTCTGCTCGGTGCCACCTACAGAGCACATGAGCGGCAGCAGGCCGCTCATGCCACATCCCAGCGTCCCCTCCCTCCGCCATATCACTGTCCAATGCTTTTAACTTTTCATTTGTGCACGACGGTCTCTCCAACTTAACACCCTTCAAGACAGCAAGAAGTAATACAAAGAGCCAGACGTTAAACTCCAGCTGAGAAAAACTAAGCTTATTGATTTCTAATATAATTGGGAATAACTCCCATCTCACAGGGGTATGTTAAAGCTTAAATTTCTTTTTTAAAAAGCAGTTAAGTGCCAAATATACATAATCCTTGGCAGGCCCTGAAAATGACAGAGTAAAAAGATCACCTATTAAATAACTTTGTATTTCTTGAGTGGTCTTTCCCTAGGCTGGACCTCCAGAGAGGCAGTGCCAAAGAAGAGATGATACTACACTGTGACAGAAACAGGCAGGAAAATAATAAGGATGCCAGCCATGTTCCTGCATTCTGAGAGGCCACTCCTGAGCCTGAAAGCCATGCACCTTCAAGGTGGGAACAATATAGTGGGCCTGAAAGAGTGATAGAGCATCCTCATCTCTGGATGTGGAAGACTGAATAAAGCTGTCTTAACATCAAAGCACTGGCAGCAAGTCTGTCAAAAATAGTGTAAAACAGGGCTAGGGGGAAGCTGCTATATAATACAGGGAGCCCAGCCCAGCGTTCTGTGACAACCTAGAGGGGTGGGATGGGGGAATAGGAGAGAGGCTCCAGGGGAAGGGGCTATATATGAATATATACTTACAGCTGATTCATGTTGTTGAGCAGCAGAAACAACACAACATTGTAAGACAATTATCCTCCAATAAAATTTTTAAAAATAGGGAGCTCTCGGCTAAATAAATTATGGTGTATCTACCAAAGAGTTGTATCTACTCTATTTAAAATGATGCTAAAGAATGCTTCATTGTAGCTTTCAAGATCTTCTAGATATTTTTAAAAGGGAAATAACACTATAAAATACATGTTGTCATGTAATTACTATTTTTTAAAAAAAGTGAAAGCAACACACCAAGAAAAGTAATGTACAAAACGGAGATGTAACTATGTGAGATGTTTCTTAAATTCTCTCATCTGTGCTTCTACATTTAAAAAATAATTCAAGTGTATTGGTTTTACAAAAAGAAGGAAAGTGTTTGACAGAGAGAGAGAAAGGAAGAAAGGGAGGGAGGAGGAGAAAGAAAAAAGGAAAGGAGGCCAGCAAGCAGGGGTTCATAAACATCTTCCTACCAAGCTACTTCTCTACTTTCTGCTCTGCTTTCTTCAAAACCCCTGCTGAGGAAAAACACCAGACGTGCTGCTACTGATGCTAGTAAAAGATTCTAGATAAAAGCCCAGGAACATATATCCCATGCATTAACAGAGAATAAACATTTACAGATCAAAGATAAATGCAATTTAACAGTAATTTTAAGCAAAAAAAGTACTTTCTCTTTCCTATGTGCTCCTAAAAGTATGATGGGACCCTGAAACTAACCAAAAGCTTTCAACTAAGCAGAATGATCCAGAGCAAGTTGTAATATAATCTTCTTCAAAAAGCATCCTGAGAAAAAATACAGTTTATAGAAAATAATATTAGGGAAGTGATTTTGTGGAGCAGAACTATTTGAGATCACAATCTGGGTCTGGCAAAAAACCATGGTGTAATGTCGAAGAAGTGGATCCAGAACCAGACTGCCTACATTGAATTCATGTGCTTTCACTTTTCAAGAAGGCAACTTCATCTCATTTGGTCTCTGTTGCCTCATCCTGGGGATAGAAAAAAAATAGCAGAACCTCATAGGGTTTTCATTAGCACTAAGTGAGTTTGATGCATATAAAATGTCTACAACTATAGTCAACATACAGTAGGTACTCCAAACATACATAATTGATGATTCTACTAAGCCCTTACTATAT